CACATATTATGATCATCTTGCTTCAAAATGTAGAGTTCGAATGGGATAAAACGGGTACAAAAGTGATAATATTCCATATAATCTCGAAGATTCCACTAAATTTGAGGAGCTGAGAGGTGGTTGTATAGTAATTATCCAAACAAGAGGGATTTTTTGTAATTTGACCATACCTCAGGGGTGTTTGTAATTTACCCTATAAAAATATATAAGAGGGACTTTTAGCATATTCCCTAATTTGTTTTTCAATGGCGAGTTGAGAGTGAATTGAAAGGCGGCGAAGAACAAATAAAGCATGAGAGAGGTAAATATGCACTACTACTAGTAGCTTATGGCTTTCCATAAAGGGGCAAGCTTAATACCTTTTTTTAGCAACTTGCTTATGTTCCTTCTTTTACTCTCACAATTCAAGTATTCAACTAATCTTATCAAAAAAAAAAAAAAAGTATTCAACAAATTAGCAAAATCCCAATTAAATATTAGAAGATCAAAATCGAAAATAACCAGGTGTAGCATCTAATTCTCCGATACCAAGAGATGATATATCCTTCACTTAATTTAGGAAACCCTCGAAATATTAATTATTAATGAAAAGTTTGTGCAACTCCGGCCGTTCGAAAAGACCGAACTGCCCTTCATCATACATATAAGTTGATCAAGTTGATGATCCATGAGTTTTGTTCGAACATATTATATTTCTGAAACACAAAATTCGTAATAATTAAATAATTAGTTGTGGTGTCCGTTCATAAATTGTGGCAAAGTTTCTATATACTTTCTTGTTCCACTGCATTTGTCACCGTAGATTTTCAATATTGAATTAAATGTATTTATTTTTACACATATTTATTCAACTATAAACATTATCTCTCTCTGATTACACTATTCAACGATCAGGGTTATTTTAGTCTTTTTAATGCATTTTTTTCCTAAAATTAAGAGAAATTTATTGAGATTCTTAATACTTGTGCAAAACTGAAAAGCGACAATTACTTAGAAACGGAGGGAGGAGTAACAATTTACTTATTGCATGAAAACGGTTGCTAGGTAGACTGGAGAATCAAAAGCAATTAAGTTTGAACTGTGATTTCATAATTAGGCTAAAATAAAACCTATGAATGAAAGTAAAAACAGAAAACTTACCCAATTTGGACATGTTGCAGAGATTCGAAAGATGATTATTAGATAAGAATATATATAAAATGCTCATGAAATAAATTAAAGTGGGAATATATATATATATATATTTTAAGCTATGGGGCGATGACACGTGGACGATAATATCCGGCCACCGCCCCATTTGTTCGCTGTATTTTGGGATGATGAAGAAGATAAGGGAATTTAATTTGTGATGGGGGATCATTGCATTGCGTTGTTCTTCTTTCCTCCATGCTTCCAGGGGCCACTCTCTCTCTCCTCTCTCTCTCTCTCTCTCTCTCTCTCTCTCTCTCTCTCTCTCTCTCTCTCTCTCTCTCTCTCATCGAGAACAGTAAACCCTAAAATAATGTCAAGAATTGCTGCTCTGATCTGCCACCCACCAGCAAAACTAAAGCAACTTAATTATAACCTTTTTCTTTTCTCTTTATTAATTAATAGTATTTTTTTTTTTGGTGCTCTATATATATATATATATATATATATATTTTGAAGCTAGACTATTATATATAATGTAGAGCTTAATTAGGTTAACATCAAAACAATATTATTAATTAATTAATCTTTGTTTGTTTTGTATAAATTTCGACATTCATATATAGAAGCCCTAGTTTAGTTTTTTTCAACGAAAAAAATGAAAAATAAAATTGTTGTCCTAGCTACTGTCAGTCACATATTCTATTGTATTGCCGGTGTGTATATCAACCATTTAATTTCCATTCTTGGCATTAATAGGTGACACTAACCTCATTAAATTTGTATGGAAAAAAATACGGGAAATTAGATGTTACACTTGGTTATTTACACTGGATGGATTTAAATCGTAGATCTACAAATAATTACACATGCACAATATATGTGTGGTTAGTGGATAGTTATTTAATCAAATTTACGGTTCAAATTCACCTAATATAAAATAATCAGGTGTAACATCTAATTAACCCCCGAAAAATACATGTTCGAGCAATAATTAATATAATTTAATATTTGAGTACTGGTGGAATATGTGGTATTACCATACGTCATTTGTGCTCAATTACTAGCTTCCAGCTGCACAAATTAATTGATTCTCAAAAAAAAAAAGACAGCATGTAATTATTATTAGGTTCTTATTCTCAATTCTACTTCTGGGAATTTTTCTTGCTTTTTATCTCTCTTGCATGCAGCATTTGGAGATCATCTTAAAATATGATAATGTTTAAATTATTATTAAAAGCTAATACATGTTTAATTAGTGTAAGCTAATTAAGAATGTAGTTTTGTTTTGTTAAATGAAACAGTAACTAGCAGTTTTCGGCTCAGCTATAAATAGACCTTATCGGAGGAGAGAAGCCCTTCAAACAACTTTCCCTTCCTTGTTATTGTTTTCGATCTTCAAATAAAAAAAACATGTTTTTAGATCTGTATCTATATATCTATATCTATATCTATATCGATATCTCTATATGATATATATAGGGTGAAGAAGTAATGGTATAATTTGGTGATGAGCTGACAGAAGATAGAGAGCACAGATGATGAGAATACAACTAATTTATGTATCTCAATCTTTGTGCTCTCTACTCTTCTGTCATCACCTTCTCTCTCTTCAATTCATCCTATACATATACATATATATATAGTTTCTCTCACTACTTCTCATTTCATCACATACATATCATTTTCGACTTGCGTTGCTTATTTCGTTTTCTTTTTTTTTTTCGGGAGGTTGAGGGGGAGTTGTTGACAGAAGATAGAGAGCACAGACGGACGAAGATGTGCGAATGGAGTTTGCATCTCATTCGTTTGTGCTCTCTATTCTTCTGCCATCACTCCGAAACCCTTTCTTCCAGGATTTCACGGTGATGCAATATATACATTAACGTTGTTTTCGTTCTTAACACAATCGTTATTTTTTTTCCTATTTTTTGGTTATGCTACGATTTTTGTACATTGGCGTAGGTATAACTTCATGCGCTTATTAATTAGATGCTACATCTGGTCAAATACAATGGTGGATGATTTTTAGCTACTGACGGGATTTAATAATTAACCATCCAAGTACAGGCACGCGTGTAACTATATGCATATCAACAATTAAAAATTTGATCACGGCCAATTCGATTGAGTAGTTCCAATTTGATAATTTTCACTGCATATTCTTTCAAAAAATAGTGTTCTTCCCGTCTGTGTAATTAATTACATATAAATTTCTCGTATTTCAAAAATATCACAAATATCACGAGTTGAAAAATATTTCTTACTATGGATTTTTTTGCTACATTAAAAAGTCGTTAGATAATCTGGAAGTCCTAATAAATGCTAGAATTTATTGTTACAAAACAGTATTCTGTATTTGCTAATGCAGTTTACCGTAACAATTTTTTTGTCACACGTATTTTGTAGGAAAAAGTTTCTAGAGCTTTTTGTAACGAATTTGATATCTTACCTTACTAATTTTATTGTAATAGTAAAAATCATTTTTCTAGTGTATTGTGTATATTCCTTCAAGTTTAATATTAAGTGAAAAATAAATTTAAATACAGTAACTACATTTTTATTTTTACTGAATATTTAAGTAGTTGGGCAAGGGTGGACTCAATTTGCCCACCCTCCTTTTTTAATTTGCCCCTTATATTATACTATATTTCTATATAGTCCACCAAAATTTTATTAACTAGCCCATCCAAAATTTCAATTAATGGAAAAGAAGCTCCATATTTTATTAACTAGCTTACCCAAAATTCAAATTAATACAAAAAAATCCCAATTTTATTAATTAGGCCACCCAAAATCCAAATTAATACAAAAAAAACTCTAAAATTTGTTTTTTTTTTATCGTTTCTCCTTTTCCTATTTTTCAAAAAATCCTAAAAAAATCTCGGGCGCTGTTCTCGAGCCCCAAAAAATTGAAGTCCCCCTGTACCGAATTCCTGGACTCTGTCACTGATTGTGCATACAATAATCTTCACTATAAATCCCAGAAAAAAAAAATACTGAAGTTAAAATAGAAAGCACGTGTCAGTGTAACAACAAAACTTGAAAGATGAACACGTGTCAGCACGGCAACAAATCCTTGACACCCCCCTATCTCCATATCGCCACCCCTGATTCAAATTCAAATATAAGCACCGCTCCTGCGTAACAAATTAATTAATTCCTAAAAAAAATGGCATTTAGGAGAAATTCGCCCCCGCCGCCACCACCACCAACTCCGGCGAATCCTTTTGCTCCGCCACCATCGGCACCCATGTTTGATCCCGGACCACCACCTCCACCTACACCGCATAATTATTACGCGCCGCCGCCGCCGTCGCCACCAATTCCAGTTCCTTTAGTACCTGGTATTCCACCATACGGTACCGCAGGACCCCCACCCCCACCACCACTGGTCTATACTATTAATAATCTTCCTGTGCCACCGCCGCCCCCCTACAACGGCCAACCCCCACCACCACCTCCTCCTGTGCTCCGCCATCCACCGCCGCCTTACTATTACTGAATCTCGAGTGCTTCGAGCAGCCCCGTCTCTGTTTAAATCCCTAGAGAGTAGAATAGAATTAGATTTTTCACCTCTTTTTTTTTTTTTTTTTTTCCGGAAGTCCTCTCTTTTGTATAGACTTTTCATTTTCGGAATTATTGTATTTTTTTTTTATTTTTTTTGTGTATAACTAATATTATGTTTGTACCTTCATGATCATCATAAGGTAATTTTTTTTATTATGATTACGTTTATCGTCAAATTGGGGAATTCGAGCCCTAGATTTCTACTCTAATAGTAGTTAAACAAAGCTTAACACGCGTTTTTGTTCAACAATCTGTAAAATTCGGCTCGAATTCGAGTTCCATTGGGGAAGAAAATGATAGTATACATCAAAAGTCAAAACTCGATTCGTGTTCAGTTTGATTAATATGTCTTCGAGCTCGACTCAATTCATGTTCTCTGCTCGACTAAAGTGTCCGTTCTAGTAAACTAATTAGCTTAAACACGACATCGAAAGCCTGATAAAATTTCATTACAACTCGATTAGTTACACCATGTGGATCGGATTTAAGCGTACTTCTCATGCCAACTCTTTTCTTAAGTCTGCACTACCTGCTCCATCAAACAATCTCTGTCGGGCAATTGTTGCCTGAAAATTCAAAAATTGGAAAAAAAAAAATCGCACATACATCACTAATATATCAATCAGAAAAAAACCTAGAAAATTTCACATGTCGAAATTAAATTAAATTAAATTACGAAAAATAACGAAACCTGTTTTGTCCAATTAGTGGAGCACGTGACCACAGACAACAATATGGATTGAACTATCGAACCCATATTCAACCCGACCCAAAGACCCGTTCCTCGTAAATGGAGCACAAAACCGAGGACCAGCGCCGTAGGCAGACCAACGACATAGTACGCTCCAAGATTTACGTATGCACCGACGTGTTGCCATCCACTCCCTCTCGCCACTCCTGAATTCGAATTTCGAATGCACGTCATCAGAAATAAAATTTAAAGTGAATTAAATAATTTAAAAACGGTGTTGACGGGTCAACCCATTTCTTTGTACCTGAAAGAACGGCTTGGATGCAGTCCATTGCAATCAAGAGACAGAGGAAAGGGGTGATCGCCCCCATGTAGTCCACGACTTCCTTTTCGTAACTGAAAGCGTATCCGAGGAAACTGCGGCAGCTTAGGAGAATCGTGCATGCCAAAATTGCTTCGGTTATTGAGAGAGTGTTTGCTGCCCAGACAGTTGCCCGAGCTCTCTCCGGACATCCTGCCCCAAGTTCGTTCGAAACTCTCGTGCTGCAAATATTATTGGAGATATAAATATCAAATGAAATGAATGATCGTTAACTTATTCAACATGATATCAGAGTCAGTCCTGCAAATATTGGAAATATAAATACCAAATAAATCAAATAATTCAACGGCAAATATATATATATATATATATATATATATATATATATATATATATATATATATATATATATATATATATATATATATATATATATATATATATATATATATGTATATATATATATATATATATATATATATATATATATATATATATATATATATATATATATATATATATATATATATATATATATATATATATATATTGCTATATAAAAGATTGAAAATTGCTAACCTTGCAGCAGCACCAATCGAATAAGGTATGAAGTAATGCAACGAAGCAACCAATAGGCTGTGGAAAAATATCATAAACAAGAAACTTCTAAATCATCCAACCTCAAAAAAAAAAAAAAAAAAAGAAGAAAAAATCATTGGAAAATTTGAGGATTTAGGACTAAAATTTAAGGTTACCATATAGAAAGAACCGAGGTTTCGAGCTGTGGATTCGGCAGAAATCCAGACAGCAGCACTACTATTTCACATGTCCACCATTCCAAACTACACATACACATTAACCATCGTAAAAAATAAAAATAAAAAAAATGCAGCAAAATCAAGAATCGAGATATAGAAAATTACCAAACCATAACCGTTGAAGGGACAGCAAAGCAAGAAAACTCCCTCAAACTAGGCACAATATCTTTTGAAAACGAAGCGTAATTCGTACTCTTGCAGTTCGAAGAGTACTTAATGTACACAACGAGCAACACCACATTAAACGAATAAGACAAACCAATCGTAAACGCAGCTCCAGCAGCTCCGAATCCAGCCTTAAACACTAAAGCCCAACAAACAGGCACATGAAAAGCAAGCGCCGCGACCGAGCTCCAAAGCATCGGAAAAATCAAACTCTGAGTCTGCAAATATCTTATCAGCGATTGAAGAATAGCGTAAGGAAACAACGCTGGGATTAGCCAAACAGCGTATTTGCCAGCTTCGATTGAGATTGAAGAATCTTGCCCCATAAGTATCAGCAATTTGTCCATGAATATCCATACGAGAGATATCGGCAAGCAGACGAAGAGGAGACATACGATAGAAGCGTAAGTGTAGGCTCCGATCTTTTCGTATTGCTTCGCTCCGAAGGCTTGCCCACATAACGTTTCCAGTGCACTTGCCATTCCAAACTGTTTTAATTAATTACAAGTGAGAAATAATTGGGGGTTTTGTAATACAAAATCAATAAATTGATGAAACAAGAGCATCTTTCCAGAATACAGCAATTATTTTCTACATCTACACACACACACACAAATACACACACATTAATTAGGTAGAGAGAAAAGTGCCCTGTTTTTTTGAAGTTCGATCGAACTCTAATAATTTAATGAAAAAAGGGGAACTAGCTAGAGAGAGAGAGAGCAGGGCCGGCCCTGGGGTGGGGCGAGCAGGGCCCACGCCCAGGGCCCAATTGGCTAGAGGGGCCCAATTTTTCATTTTTTTATATATTATATATTTTTTTTATATAAAAATTTATTGTTTTATTATTAAAAAAAACATATTCTTTTATTTAAAAAAAGATCTTCTGTTATTATTTTTAAATTTAGTATTAAAGTAGACATAAAATTTTAATATTTTATTTAGTCAAACAAAAATTTATTACATATTTCTCTAACAAGTGTTTTAAAAAAAAAAAAATCGGGGCGTTGCTCTTGAACTCCCGTATTATTAGTCATACAAATTTTATTCTCGCCCAGGGCCCCCGAATACGCCGGACCGGCCCTGAGAGAGAGAGAGAGAGAGAGAGAGAGAGAGAGAGAGAGAGAGAGAGAGAGAGAGAGAGAGAGAGAGAGTTTACGAGAATACTGAGGCCGGTGACGTTGGCGAATGAGGTGGCGACGGCGGCGCCGGAGAGAGGGAGTTCGCCCAGGTGGCCCACCATCATCATCGATGCAACCCTCGACAGAGACTGGGATACGGTCACCACCACCATTGGTGCTGCTATGTAACTCACCTTCTTCAGCTCTTCCACGAACAGCTCCCGTGTTGGTGCGGCGGCGGCGCGAAGCAACGCCTCCTCCATGACAAATTAAAAGACCTGATGAAGCTACTTTGGAGTTCGGTGGTGGTGGGACAAAAGTGAAAAAGGTAGTGAGTGACTCGTAGCGGTAGTATTTAATTAATTTATTTATAATCTTTTTTACATGAATTTTAATGTGTAGTGGTGAGTGAGTGAGTGTCCATTATTACAACACACTCGGTTGATAATGTTTGGTTTTATTTGGAAAGTAATTATATTGGTGTATTTTTGGAGAAGAATACAAAATCTTCTTACACGTGTGGATGTGGATGTATTGACTAATCCAAATATTAGGGTAAATTACGAATTTGACGAATTACGAAAAAAATTCTCATGTTGGGTAATTGCGACCAGCATCAACTGTGAATCTTTTTATACGTGCACATTGGAGGTATTAAATTTAGTGGAATCTTCCAAATTATATGGAATATTCTCCAGTTTGTATCTGTTTTCAATCATTCGAGATCCACATTTGGAGAAACAAGATGATCCATTAGATGTGTTACGTAGCTTGTAAATATCAGATTGTGGTGTATTAGAAATTGCAGTTTTGGCACAAAACGTTGATTACCAAAACATAAGGTATTTTTTTCATAATTTGACATTACCCGATGACGGGTGACCATAATTTATCCAATATTAATTGTGGGGGTGTGATGAAATAATATAGTAACTGTTGGTAATATAATGATACTCAGTATTTTGTACAAAACAAATCCACCCTAGTAGATAACAAGTTATTTTGGGTTGAAAAAGACGAAAAAATCCTTATGTTAGGCATGTGTAATTTACGTACGCCGAAATATGCCAAGATTCGCCTGGAAATTAGCTCTTAGTGGTTAAGTGGGTCAAAATAACGAGTTTGGTAATGCCCGTACAATATTTTTCCTTGATGTGGCAAAGTGTAAACGGGGCAACGTAATTGTTGCAAAATGCTATTAACCCATAAAATAATAAATCATACACCAAAAACTAGTAAATAATATCAATAATGTTCATTGGCATAATCTTCATTAATCCATCCATTCAAATGGGCTGGTTTTCATCTGGGAATTTCTCAGTAAAGATTCTCCGCCTTGCTTCCTCTGCCTGTACAATAACAAATGCAACAAATCAAACACTAAGAAATATGACGGGAAATTCGAGACGAAAGAAGCAAGTAACTAAATACCTGTTTTTCCCAGTTTGTTAGAGCTGTTATTAAACAAAACGATAAAGATTGCACCGTTGCGCCTGCTACTAATCCACTCCAAAGCCCCTCCCCTTTTAATTTCAAAACAAATCCCAATAGTAAAGCAACCGGTATTCCGACTAAATAGTATGCCCCGAGATTCACATAAGCCCCTATATGTTGCCATCCGCTACCTCTAGCTACTCCTGCAAAAAATAATCGAAGTATTTATTTAATGATGAATTTCAAATTTTCCGGACTAGTTTAGAAACGAATGTTGGAATTAATAAGAGAGAGCACCTGAAAGTACGGATTGTAAGCTGTCCATGATGATTGAGAGGCAGAGAAACGGAATCATTTGTTCGACGCCATTGACAACTTCCATTTCTTGGCTAAATGCAAATCCAAGTATAGTACGACAAATGTAGATTGTTGTACTGGCGACAAGAAATTCTGCTACTGCCAGAACCAAGACTGCACCGAGAGCGACTTTGGCTGCCTCTGGTTTCCCTGGTCCTAGCTCGTTCGAGATCAGAGTACTAGAAAGACAAATTCATTATTTAATTCTGATTTTAGAGCATAACTTAATAGCGTATTTTATCTCATACAAGGACAAACCTTGCAGCAGCACCAAAAGAATAAGGTATGTGATAGTGCAGTGAAGTAATCGTCAAACTGCAAACAAGGAGAAGTACACAATTACAAACAAACATACTCTAAAACCGTAATTCCTTAGGCCTTGTTTGGTTGTTAAGATAAGCCAAGATTAATATAAACATTAGATTTTATTTGGAGCTCACAATCATGGAAAAATGAGATATACAATTGGGTATTATAAGCGATACCATATAGAAAGAACTGATGTCTCCAGTTGCGGATTCGGCAACATTCCCGAAAGCAAAATCACTAGCTCGAACGACCACCACTCCAAACTGTATGCTCGACATTATTAAGAAACAGACAATATGATTTTTGTGTGAAATGTAAAATCGATATGAAAAATAAGAAAGAGTTCTATACTAATAATTACCAGACCATCACAGCAGAGGGGACAGCAAATCGAAAGAACTCTCTCGTAGTTGCAAAAACATCTCTCGAAAGAGACGAACGTGTTTTCTTACAAGTCGAAGAGCACTTCACGTAAAGCACAAGCACAACGATGTTAAACCAATACGAAATCCCGATAGAGAGAGCAGCTCCACCACTTCCGAGATCGAACTTGAATACGAAAGCCCAACAGAGGGGTAGCTGTAGACACAAAGATGCTAACGAGCTCCAAAGCATAGGTAGAATCAAACTTTGAGTCTGCAAATAACGGACCAAAGACTGAAGAACAGCATAAGGGAACAGCGTCGGGATTAGCTGGATCGCGAATTTGCCTGCTTCGGCCGAGATTAATGGATCTTGGCCCATGAATATTAGAATCTTCTCTGTGTAAATCCACAGAATCGAAACTGGTACGCACACCAGAAAGAGGCATAGTGTGGCCCCGTAAGTATATGTTCCGACTCTACGGTATTGCTCCGCTCAGATACTATTGCCCACACACGGTTTTCCAATGCACTAGCCATGCCAAACTGCTTAACAGAGTGTATTAGGAACTTATTGCCGTGTGTGTGTGTGTGTGTGTGTGTGTGTGTGTGTGAGAGAGAGAGAGAGAGAGAGAGAGAGAGAGAGAGAGAGAGAGAGAGAGAGAGAGATTTACGAGTAAGCTGAATCCGGTGACGTTACAGAGAGAGGTGGCGATAGAAGCACCGGAGAGAGAGAGTTTGCTGACATGGCCCAACATGAACATCGGCGACACCCGAAGAAGGAACTGCGACACAGTCACAACGATCATCGGCAACGCAATAAAATTAACTCGATTGAACTCGCCGGCGATCGGCCCCCACCGCCGATTCTCCTCCCCCTTCAGTAACGGCACTTCCTTTTCCATATTAGGGTTTTTTTTTCTTTTCCTTTTCAATTCCGCCTAAATTGAAGTATGATGCAACGAGGCCTAATAATAACTGCCGTTTCCGTAGAGCAAAAGAGATTACGATAATCGAGTTCCTCCATAAGAGATTACCGAGATTATCTACTGCATTGACCATGGGTTCTGATGGTGAAATATTATGATGCATTTGAATATATATCTCACTGGAAATCAGAATTGCCCTACTGGAACTTCATTCATGCATTAATCCTCGTTTCGTGTGTAATACAGTAATTGATGTTATCTGAAATTGACGGGACGGGTAATTTGCATTCTGCACCCTCAAATTACATACTTTTGTCACTTTACACCTTTATATTAAAACAATACCACTTTCCACCCTCCATTTAAATTTACTCTCTTCACTATCATTATTTTCAAACTAAAAAAACTCATTCCATTCACAATCTCTGCCCACCATCATCCCCAATGGCACCGCCGCCCCATTGTCGGTCACCATCCATCACCGGGACCGGTCCTAGGGTTCGGGAAGGAGGCGAAGACAACAAATGAGTCCCTTAGTTTTTCTTTTCGTGTGTGTTAAAGACCATTTCACATTCGTTTTTCATGTGATGCGAGTGTGGGGTAAAAATCGGACGCATCGGATCGAAATTAGTACTTTTAGAATATATTTTTTGATTTCAGTTTCCGACGTTGACTTTTTTTTCTCTACTACGTGATTAAATCCCAAATCAATCATATATACATGCCTAACAAAACTGACGATGGAACCAATATATATTAATATTTGCACTCAAGTACAATTCAGACAACATGTTTTTGGCACTGTACACAAGCTCACTTCACTAATCAGTAATCACTATTCACATTCAGCAAAAATTTCAACATCCCAGTAAGTTACTTTCGTAACTTTCCAGGCTGCCGCCACCCCACCACCACAACCACCTCCTCCCGGCCGGGTTTCGAATACTAATTTTCCTTTATAATTGTTTGTTTCTTTACATTTCCCGTGTGCAATGCTTTCTTGAATCATTTTCTTTAACACGTCTCCACCAATTTTCAAGGCTCGATTCGACCTGGATATCCTCCAGAAAAACTCCTGCGTCGTATTATTACAATTGCCTGTAGAATGATCCAGGGGGTTGAATAAGATCGTCAGCTATATTAAAATTTGTCCCATAATAATAAAACAAAAAAAAATAAAAAAAATTGGTGAAATTTTAACCAAACAAATAATCAAACTAAATAAAGACCTGTTTATCCCAGTTTGTGAAGCAAGTCACTAGCGAAAGTGCGATAGATTGTACAGTTGCTCCAGCTGCAAGTCCAGTCCAAAGGCCTTTCCCGTTCAGATCAAATACAAACGCAAGAAGTAAAGCCAACGGTGTACCCACAAGATAATACGACCCTAGATTCACATAGGCACCTATATGCTGCCACCCACTACCTCTCGCTACCCCTAAACGAACAAAAGAAGATATTAATAATTTTTCGATTTTTTTTTTCCTTTTTGTTGACGAAGGAACTCACAGGCACATATGTGCTTACCTGAAAGTACAGCCTGTAAGCCATCCATGATAATAGAAACGCTAAGAAACGGTGCCATTTGTTTGACATATTCGACAACTTCTTTCTCCTGGCTAAACACATAGCCCAGTATAGGACCACAAATCACAACAAGAATGCTGGCTAATAATAACTCTGCTATTGACAGAACCAACACTGCGTGGAGAGTTACTCTGGCTGCTTCCGGTTTACTTGCTCCAAGCTCGTTCGATATCACAGTGCTGGAATATATAAGAATAAAAATTCTTGTTTTAGTTTACAAAGTCGAATGTTTAACTGTCTTGCGTGGTTGTAATTCTGTATATACTTTTTAAATTTGTTAACCCAAATTAATGAGAATATGTGTCAAGAACTGACCTTGCAGCAGCACCAAAAGAATACGGTATGTGATAGTGCAAAGTCGAAATGGTGAAGCTGCAAACAAGTCAAAGTAGATAAGTTTAGATATATTCATAAATATATATATTCTCCGATTTTCCAATCATTAAAAAAAATGGATACCATATAGAAAGAACTGATGTCTGTAATTGTGGATTTGGCAATATGCCCGACAACAAGAATATTAGCTCGAACGACCACCACTCCAAACTGCAAATATGGGCAACTAAAATAAATACGATATGTATTTGACCGTTATATGACAACACCAAAATAAATACGGAATTGCTTGTAAAATAAAATGACTGCTTAATCAGAAAGTTGTTGGATAATCAAAAGACCATGAAAGTGGAATTACCAAACCATAGCGGCAGAAGGTATAGCAAGTTGAACGAACTCCCTCATAGTTGCAAGAGCGTCCATCGATAATGAAGGACGGGTTTTATTGCAGGACGAAGAGTACTTCACATAAAGCACAAGCAAAACAACATTAAACCAATACGAAATCCCGATCGAATATGCTGCTCCACTGTTTCCAAGATTCAACTTAAACACAAATGCCCAACACAGAGGTAACTGAAAGAACAGAGATGCTAACGAGCTCCAAACCATCGGAAATATCAAACTCTGGCTCTGCAAGTAACGAACAAGACACTGAAGAATCGCATAGGGAAATAGCGTCGGGATTAGCTGTATTGCGAATTTTCCTGCTTCGGCCGAGATTAACGGGTCTTGGCCTGTTAATAATAGCAGCTTCTCTGTGAAGATGAACAGAAGAGAAACTGGTAGGCACACTATAAATAGGCATAAAATAGCTCCGTAAGTGAAAGTTCCTACTTTTATGTACTGTTCGGCTCCATATGCCTGCCCGCATAGGGTTTCCAATGCACTAGACATTCCAAACTGCAGAGCAAAATTGAAATTATTTTCTTCATCTACTAAATTTACGTGTATATAATTTTCAACTATTTAATCAAATTGGAGATATAATTAAGGTTTTAAATTTTGTAGAGAAGCCCCCTCAATTTGAACTTATTATGAAGATGACGAATTTCTGATTGAAATAGTAGGGTTTTTGAAAAACATAAAAAAAAATTGGGGAAAACTGGAAGGGGGTGGGGGCTTACGACAACACTGAATCCGGTGACATTGCAGAGAGAGGTGGCGATGGAGGCGCTGGATAATGAGAGTTGATCCAAATGGCCAAGCATGAACATGGGCGAAACACGCAGCAGAAATTGTGAAACCGTCACCACTATCATCGGCAGAGCGATCCAATTCACGCGATTCAGCTCCCCGGCGAACGCGCCACCCCACGCGATTTTGCCGCCGCCGCCGCTCTTCTGCTTCGGCGGTTTCGGCACTAGTATTTCCAGCTCCACCTCCATTTTGTTTTTTTTCTTGCGGAAAGGACAGAATTGAACTTTTTGTTTTTTGTTTTAATCTTTTTGATCGAAACTTTTCCTTTTTCTATTTGGCGAATCGATTGCTCAAAACTTAAAAGCTAAAATGAATTTTGAACTCTTCAGAGTTCGTACAATGGGTACTTATAAGTTGTAACTTATAAGTTATAAACGCCAAGTAATTTATAATTCTGTTCTTCTTTGGGTCAACATATCAGACGAAAAGTCAACCCTAACATTTTGCCGCGTGTTTGCCATTTAATTTGTTATTTTCTGGCATTTTCGAGGCTTTTTCTTCGAATTTGCTGAGAGTATTGGAATACGTTAACTCCAATAGAATAGTCCAAATTGATAATACATTATTTTAAATTATTTGTCATAAGAATGAATCCATTTATATACACTCAGTAAATTTATTGTCATAAATAAATAAATAAATAAAGGAAAAAAGAAATAGCTCAAAACTCATAAATCCATGTGAAATATTTCATAATGCAATTTTATATTTTTTTTATTTAACTTTGTTATCTCTTATTGAAGTGACAGGATTCGGTCTTCTCATATCTATAATCTATTAAACTTTGATCAAATCGTTTAATGTATGATTTTCAATCTTATCTTTCTGCCCCGTCATAAAATTATATATATGATAAGGAACGTCAAATTGGATTCGTGTTGCAAAATAACTATTTAATTCGGAGAAGAGTTATTAATGGGCATTAGTGGAAATATCGAAAGAAATTATGGAAAAATAAGGGTTTTCGACGAAGTCAAGTTGTATTTGAGTACGAAACGAATTCTATCTCAAGTGAAACGGCGCAAGGAACAAAACTCATGAGCAAAGCTCATGAATCACGTCAAATTTCAGCAATCCAATGTCGTTTAGGCTCCCAAAAGTTCGTTTTTGCTATTTTAGGTAAGTTTTAGAAAATTAATATCAAATCATAGAAAAATCGGATTAGGATTCCGTAAATTGGGTTGTTCCCAAAATTTCGTTTTTGCTATTTTAGGTAAGTTTTAGAAAATTAATATCAAATCATAGAAAAATCGGATTAGGATTCCGTAAATTGGGTTGTTCCCAAAATTACGAGATCTACTAGAATCAGACTCTAACTCGTTTTTGCCGTTTTTGGTAATTTTTAGTATTTTCTTAGTTTAATTAGGGTTTTCAGGTTTTTAGTATAAATAGCTGCCTTAGGTCTTTATTTTAAGAAGAATTTCGAATTTTAATAAAATATTTAGAGTTTTCTCTATTTTTCTGGTGGATTCCGAATGTTATTTTGTTCTATAGGATTAATTCGTAGAAATTAATTCTTTACCGTGCTTCCGTTCTGCGTCAATATATTAAGAAAAATATAATAAACACGTGTGTTATTACTTATTACTCTCTCCGTTCCCTATTAAGTGTCGTTTTTGGCTTTGCAGAAGGATTAAGAAGCTTAATAAATGTATTTTGATTTTAGGTAAAATATATTAGAAAGACTAAAATAACCTTGATTATTTAATGATGTAGTAAGAGAGAGTTAATACTTATAGTTGAATTAACAAGGTTAAAAAAGGAAAAAATGCATTTAATGCAGTATTGGAAATCTAAAGTGACAGATAATATGGAACAAAAATATTTTTAAAAAGAGACAGTTATTGTGGAACAGATGGAATATATTACAAACATCCATCCATCCACATGGACGTTAGCCTAGTATCATTTTCGTATAATTTGTGAATTATTGAACGAGAGAGAAATTTACTCGGTGCATTCGAATGATTAGAGGAGTTTTTTGGTGCTACTTGACACATGGCATAAATTTTATATTTATTTTTAATTTTTTTTTTCTCTTCAAAAGAGTTTGGGTGTCGATCAACCAAAAGAAAAAAATTGCACCTTGCCTAGTTGATATATAAATAATTCTTATCGATAGATCGTAGCATGTGAATGACCATAGTGATAAATTAATGAATAATGCTAATCATGTTGCTATAGAGTACGTACAAAAGTTTAGTGTACCTAATCTTGTGATTGAGCTAGTTTATTGTACGTATTTATTTATTTTATTTAAACCATCGTCATTTGGCAATATTGCTAATCATGTTTTCAAATGCTACACCTATTTCATTATTGTTGAAAAAAATAATTCAACGGTATTGCAATGAATGATCTAACGGTTGGAGCAAATGAACTTGTCTCAATTGATCCAAATTCGAATTCTCTTGTCAGCGGTCGTTAGATCGATCTTGTCACACGTTGTTAATTAGCCTAATGTGGTGTACGTCTCTTGTATAATTTTACAAGTTTTTATACAAAAGTGTAAGTTTATGCAATATATGCACCTATATAGTTGACTGCATGCTCTTTCACTGAATAACTATTAAAATCGAATTGGAACGGATCGACCGATTAAGCTGGTTCACAACCCTATTTGTTGGTTGCGTTGGTTCATCATGAATAAAACATAGAAATTTAGAGAAAAAAAAATGAAAAAATACCAAAAATCAACAGTAGGGCTTTCATATATATCATGTTTGAAAACTTGGAAAAATATCGTAATTAATTTGATTTGTGCATTATTCATAGGAATCTAATTACAATCTAACTAGAACTATTAATATGAGTATAACTCTATTATAATAATAATTATCATAATTATACTAACAAATACAAAAGAAAAAACCGGTTGAACCGAATTAATTAAATATCAATTAAATTGCTTGTCTCTACTCTTCCTTCAAGAGTCGAGACTCATGCGTGTCATTTGGCCCGTAGAGCCTCGTTAAGAGTATTAAAAGAGTGCATCAATTTTGGTACTTTAATTTGAATTTGGCCCATAGTTTAATTTGAATTTAATATTTCTTGTCAATATTTTTAAGGTTGAATTATTTATAAATAATTAACCTAGTGTAACTTATACTTCGTTGTGTGTGATTTGCATGTTATTTTACAAGAGTAGGATTTGTTCAGTGCTCCTTGAGTGATTACAGATTATCTTGTATCATTAATAAAAAAAAAAAAAAAAATTATTTAAAATTTGCATCCTCATTCAAAGACACCCAGGTAGCCGGTCACAAAATTTATTGCGGCACACAGGATCCCATCTCTTGAAAAATCTATGAAAATATCACTTTTATTGTAAACTGCAATTAGCCGCTAATACTTAATTACCAGTTCAGCCAGAAGTAAGAAGACAACTTAATGAAAAGAATTAGTAAATGCAACAAAAAAAAAAGTTGGAATCAATATTTAATTTCATTCTTTTCAAAAAAGGAAAAGATAACTTAATTAACTTCATATATATATATATATATATACATACAATATCAAGTTTGTGCTATATTATAAAACTCACCTGCAACTGCAACTACAACCAAAAAATTATGCATCTCATAAAAAAAACAAGTCATATATTATACATTAACCCTAGTTCGACATAACATATATTTAAATGGCGACGCGGACCTTGTTAGTGTAGAAGTAAAAGGAATCTGTATCCCCGCCGGCACCACGCGGCGGCAGGAGCTAAGAGGTGGAGACTTCCTCCACACTTGATTTTATCTCATTATATTATCCACGTGTGCAGGCGGAGCGGTAGATTTCTTTTATTTCCCCACTAACAAGGTCTGCTTCGCCATTTAAATATATATTATGTCGAACTAGGGTTAATGTATAATATATGACTTGTTCTTTTATGAGATGAAGAATTTCTTGTAGTTGTAGCTGGGTTTTATAATACAGCACAAGCTTGATTCGCTTCTTTGTTTTGTGTTAAAGATGAAATGACTTTATTCTTTTCCGTTTGAATGAGACATATTGGCTGTGTTTGGTAAGCTTTTGAGCTTCCATTTCCATTTTATTTTGGAGAAAGATGTTTTGGGAGAAGAATTTGAAAATTAATATAAATTTGTTTGTGTTTTGAGAGGAGATAATTTGTACTGTAGCAAGTCAAATCATGTCTGAAAGGTGTTGGGGAAAATGTATTTTGGAAGAAGAATTTAAAAGATAAAGTGATTTGATTTTGTATTTTAGTGAAGACAATTTTCACTGTAGCGGTCAAATCATGTTTGTTAGAGAGATAAATATTTGAATTTGTTTTGGAGAAAGTTTTTGAAAATAGTGTAGAAAGATAATTTTTATTTTGGGGAAAATGTGAAAAGAATTTGAAAACGGTAACAAACATAGCCATTATTCTTTTCAAAAGTGAGTGGAGAAATGGATTCCTCATGAATTCTTCGAGTATTGCTTTTGCTTTTATGAGCTCGAGTTTGAGATATTTGTGTATTTTTTTTTTATTAATATTAATTATAATAAAAAAAATTGGAAATAAAAAGATGCCTTGTAATTTATTTTATATTAATTATATTTAAATAAATAAAAAAAGCTCGCGAACCCCACGAGAAACTAAATATGGGCTCAGACTCGGCTTGTCAAAAAGGTGGTAAACTGAAAACAAAATTAGTTTACTCGAACAAACTCTGTTATTAATAAGAGGGTAAAACCACCACTGGGAATGGTTAAATTACGAAACCGCCCCTTTTGTTTGGATAATTACAACAACTCCATCAACTATAAATTTTCTTCCACGTCCATCATTGTGGTTATAAATTTAATGGAATCTTCTAGATTATATGGAATATTTTTAATTTTGGACCCGTTTTATCCCATTCGAGCTTCACATTTTGAAGTTAGATGAGCATAAAATGTATTTTTTGGCTTGTACATAACAGATTGTGGTGCATCATAAACTTTGTTTTTGCTCAAAATGAGTTCAAATTAGAGAACATTCCACACCATAAGGTGGAGATGTAAGAAGATTCATAGTCGATGGGGAGATGTAATTATCCAAACATGAGGGATTTTTTCGTAATTGACCATACCTCAGGGTGTAATTTACCCTTAATAAGAAGAAAAAAAAAAGTAGTAATAATTTATATAATTATTATATTGACAACTCGGCCCAAAAAAGAAGCTTCAAATTTAACTAACCAAAGCCAAAGCCCAAGCCCATGGGAAAACAAAGTTGGTCCACGTGGCCTATAAGCCAAAGCCCATGGGAAAAAACGACTCAGTACAGCCTATCAGAAACACCCACGTGGCCGATTACAAATTTGTTGAGGCACACAAGATCCCATCTCTTTTGAACCAAAACCCTCCTCCCTCTACCCTCGTATTGCGACATCAACAAGCAGCCATTCCTTATTTGCAGGTAGCGCCTCTCTCTCTCTCTCTCTCTCTCTCTCTCTCTCTCTCTCTCTCTCTCTCTCTCTCTCCGTGCGTCTGTGTGTATTTTCTTCAGGAGATTTTTGGTACAGGGATTGAAATTAGTTAGTTTCTATGGTAATTTACTAACTAGTTGAAATTAGCAGTGAGTTTATTGTTAATTCCCCCTATTTACACAAAACAATGAAGAAACCAATTTGAAAAATCTGTGAAAATATTGATTTGAATTTAAACTGCAATTAGCCGCTAATACTTATTAGTTGTTACTATTTGAGCTAGAAGACACAAATTTATGAAAATAATTAGCAACTGTGAATTTTCATTTCATTGTGATACTTGTAGTATCAGAATCATTATAACTGAGAAAAGATTGAGACTTTCCGGACCAAAAATATCAATGTTAATTGTTCGGCTATTACTCGATTTGTTTGTTAGCATTTTTCGATTTATTGTTTCTCTCTTTACTTTTGCAGTTGAAGATACAAATATGATAAAACGGCGTTTCTACAGGCTCGAACATGGCGGCAGGGACGAACCCTCTGGATCTTCGTCTTCTTCCGACTCTGAAGTTGAGCCAGAAGCCACAGATGAATCGGGAGAAGAAGACGACGAGGGCAATGTTGTATCGAAGTCGAGAGAGAACGGAGAAGCTTCCTCTTCTTCTGGTATGTGTATTATCAAATTTTTTTGGGAGCATTGTATACTTGTGTCGTTTCTTTTATTTTGTTTTTTGTGTTTGCTTAACTAACTATATGGTTTTGTACTGCCATGAGTATTGCTTGATTTCTAGAATGCCATTTAATTGTATTTTTTTTTCTCGACTACCGTCTGCTGCTCTCTGATGTTTACGAATTTGAAGTATGAAACCATGCTTCTTGCATATTAATTTTTTTCTTTTTCTTTTTTCACATGTATTCAGGTTATGAGACCGAGGATAGTTCAATAAATGAAGTTAATCTTGACTCATCAGGTTAAATTTTTTAATGCTTTTCAATGATCACACATCTTATCTGTTCAGTTTCGTATGATTCATTGTGTCTATAAATTCATATTTCGGGTTACGACATTGGTTACAATTAGGGTTCCCAAAATCCTTGGTATTTTTTGCTTGACATAATTAATTCTATTACCACTGATAACTACTTTAGTGTTAATATGAATACCTTCTTGTGGTCATTCTTCTAATTCTATATTAAAGTAGCTTTTCGCTCGTTGATTTTGTGTGCAAATTCTTGAAGGTCAAATCTGTCCAAATAATATTTTCTGCACCAAGATATGCAATATCTTTATGATGCCAAAACCGAATGTCCTTTTGAACTTTATTTTCTTCTCTGTTCCGGCAAATATGTAGATTATAATACGATGATATTTTTGTTTCGGGTTTGCTATAGTTCCAAGTCGAGTTGTATCTATATGTAGATCAATTATATGGATATCTTTTTGTACCATATGAAGCTTATTATGCTTCTTTCATAATTTTCCCTAGTTTTTATTTCGGCATAAGAATGTAAAGCGAGTGTTTGTACTCTACCCCGAGACTTATCCAATGAAAAATTGGCATGACAAATATTTATCATTTTTTGACAATTTTGAATCAAATGGTCAACCTTATTCACGAACTTTCTTTCATTCATTCTTCTCTTACAAACAGAACCGATCTTTGCAGGTATACCCACAAGTGACGATGATACGTTGACACAAATTGGTGGGGAAAACATTCTAGCAAGTATTCCTATCGGTGAAGGAGACAACGTACTTGCCGGAGAAGAGCATACCCCTGAAGAGGAGGAAGAGACCCCCATTGATTTACCCGATTGGGTTTTAAAATGTAAATCGGTATACAAGTGCAGGCTGTGTCCGAGAATTGTCTGTTTGACAGAGGAAACACTAAAGGCTCACTTAAGCTCCAAGGCAAGCATTTTCGCTTTTCGTTAATTTTTCTCTCTCTGATCCCTTTCTTTTATCCATTTTCTTCTTGTCAAGAATAGATCCTAAAACCATTTGTCAAGAGTTTCATTCTTAATGCGCTTATTTATATTTTCAATATTCTTTGACTCGCCTTTTGGTAGTAAAATATAAACTCGACATGTCCCATGAACAACTGGACTCTTGTGACTTATCTACTACTGTCGGAAAAACTAACCTCAGCAACTTTCAATAGTTGTAGAGTTGTTTACCTATTTAAGTTGTCATACTCATATTCTGGATACTTGTTGCTAAAATTTTCCTCCGAGATTTTTTTTTAATCTTTTTGGCATCCATCAACATATATTTCAATTTTGATTTTTAATCCAAAGTATATAATCTCATGAATGCTCTCTCAATTTGTGCTGCTCTGAGTTTCGATAACTTATAGTTTTGTGTCTCCTTCACAGAGACATGCCCGTTCAGACAAATTACGTAAAGAAGGGAGGCTTAAGCTTATGCTCAACGGCAGTGGACAACTTGAAGGCGAGTCAGACGATCCCGAGGCTGCAACCATTTCTGGACGGGTAAAGATATCGTATTTATTGATAATTTTTTATGTTCAGTTTTTTTTTTTTTTTTTTGTTGTTGTTGTTGTTGTTGTTGTTGTTGTTGTTGTTGTTGTTGTTGTTGTTGTTGTCCTAATTTGACATGTGTTAAACGCAATAACCGTAACAGAAGTCAGCTGAGCGAAAGAAGAAGGGCGGCAAAGGACAAGGAAAACAGAAGAAGAGATCAAGACAAGTAAATGAATCCCCTATTAATGTTTCCACTGATTTTTTTAATTTATTTTTAATCTTTCGGTGATCCAAGTGTATTGACTCGACTTTCTTAATCATCGTAGGAAAGTAGGTTTGGGAAAGGAAGATCAAAAGGGAGGCGGGAGAAGAGACGGAAGAATGACGACTGAGACAAGTCTTCCAATTTTACCCTTAATTTACGTTGCAGTTTAAAATTGTTAGAATTGCGACAATACAGTCAATCCCATGAACATGTGGACGACATATTTGTTTCTCTGATATTTTAACAATTTTGTAAGAGATTTGGCAGTCGAATGAGAGAACATGGATTGTTTCTTTGATTTTTGCGTTCTCGTTCTTTATTTTCATAATGTTCTTTTTCCCTGGCTTGTTCGAACGCGATAAACCAGTGTCGAAAGGATATAACTAAATCTAGTGGATCCCATATCTTAAAACCATCTTAGCTTGCTCTGTTATCAAACAAGTTGTTAATAAATCATGCCTCTACTAATGACATGTCAACTAACAATGGCCTAAAATACACACACAATACACACACACACACACACACACACACACACACACACACACACACACGCACACACACACACACACGCACACATGAACTTCACCCAATATAGCAAAAAATAAACCTGATTGAACACTAGAAAACAAGTGGATTGAGTGTATCTTATGGTTTGAAACAATTAAAAGCTGCCAAAATATTTCTTGTAGCACCGTTAGAAATCAAGGCCATATACGAACACATAACACTACAAGCCAAGACACACAGCGCCAAGTGCATCTCGATAGAAAATCTTCGTTCAGGCCCTAAACTAAATCGACAATGTAAAACACACAGCTACAAGGTGGGCACTGCACATGAATCGAACTAACGAAAGCAACGGAAAATGAAGAAAAGTTACATATCAAGTTTCATCACTCTTACTCTCTTCTTCGAGTGGGAGTTCATTAGTTGAAGGCTGCCTTTCTTCTTCAACTCCATCTCCTTCAGCAACTTGATCGGGCGGCAGGGCTTGTTCTCCAGTCTCGCTGTTTTCAGGGTGAAAATTAATTGGAAATTTGGTAACTCTTGGTTTGTCGGATAATATATTTCTTTGAATCCTGTCGATTAAGATCTTCTGTGGAGGCTCCTCTCTGAGCTGTTCATTGTCATAGTCATTGTTGACATAATAGCCCACTCGAAGAAATTCTTGACCTACGTACGAGCATGTCAACAAAAGCACCGTCACGCCTATGATATCTTCCTCGCGAATCTTGGAAGGATCTGGAGGGTCCGCCTGATATCAATTTTGCACATGAAAAGTTTAAATCTTGGACAAGTATCAAAACATATAGATACTTATAACATGATGTTCAATGTTTTTACCTGCAAAACAAAACGGTAATTTCCAACATTGACTGGACCGACAAGAACACTTTCTAAAAGCTGGTCGTAAGTTTCATCCTCAGCAGATCCGACATAGATGAGTTTCCATTCCAAATCTGGAGTACGTTTTATTAGTTTCAGAGTGGAATAGACGAGAGATTTAACACGTTTCATATATTAATGTAAAGTCAAATCGAGAGAACCTTCATGAAATTGAAATCAGGAACTAAGGGATGATGAAATAGTATTACGATCATACAACACGATGTTTAATCCTCCCATTAGTTCCCTGGTTTTTTTATCTGTTTATCTTTTTTTACATTATTTATTAGGATATGATTAAATGATTCTGGAGGTAGTAAGATTTAAGATTTTTGTTGTACGCTTCTCCCACAAACCATTTCATTTTTCAATTGAGAGAAACCGAAGTGTCGGGTTTCTAAATTGAAGGAGTCCTAACAGGCAACAATCTGGAGAGTCTCATCCATGTGCCTAATGCATCCAAGAAGAAACTTTAAAAACGAACTCTTTGATAATATTTACAAAAATGGATATTAGACATATTGAATCCCTATTAGAGAATGATTAGAGGGAAGCATTCCCCATTTTAGCCAACGTATTATATTTAACGTATCGAAGAACAAATCACAGCAAACGAAGATTTTAAGCAATCAATTAATCCCTCTGTTCTCAAAGGTCTATTCACAAATAAGATCTAGATCTGCCTTCTTTTCCGATTAGTTCGTCGTGCAGAGCCCAGGTTTCTTATTCTCTATTTAGTTGTTCGATTTGTGAAACTAAGTCCATTAAAACAGTAGCAAACTATTTATTTTTATTTTATGTTATTACATTTATTCCTCAAAAGTCCTGTTGGAAGCCTGTGAAATTACGAAACCCTAGCACACCATTTTCCACTTTTCAATAATTTCTTCATCAAAATGTTAACACCCCCAAAATAACTCGATACAAAGTCAATTCATTTCTAAAATCGAAGAACACCGTATACTTCCAACGCCACACGAATCGTACCGTAAACATCCAATAATCAACTAAACCCTAGATATTATCGAATTAAAAAAAAAAATCCGCATAAACACACATCGCACATTGCGGAAGGGGGGGAAAGAGCAAAAAAAAAAAAAAAAAGAGGCGAAAAGTTACCGTCTTTGAGAGAGGAAACACATTCGTACGAGATTTCGAACTGAAAAGGAGACAAAAACGACGCCGGATTGTCCAGAACGGCAACGTTCGTGATGTTCACCGCACTCATGTGTGGGAATCTTTCTACGGTTCCGAGTTGCTCGAATTCGCCTCCGACAGAATCGAACGCAGCGCAAACTTCATGTAACGGAACAAAACAGCAGAGAATTTAGTCGACAATTTTGAAGAAGAAAGATGAACGACAAAGCAAGATTTGGGATGTAATGAATTGGAGGAAATGCACCGAAGAGAAGAGAAGAGAAAGAATGCAGCAGCTTTGGGTGCTTATGGATGTTTCGCTTTGGGCGGTATTTATAGTGGTGACTGGATACTTGTTTGGCAACCGGGTGTAGCCGGTTTATGAATTTGGCGGGAGTTGGTTTGATTTGGGCTTTTACGGGTTTCATTAAAGTTTAATGGGTCAGGATTCGGGCCCATCCAAACATAAATTTACTTGTCATTGGATATTATTAAACTAACAGATGCCTCACTACTTTCAAAATTAATTTTGTTTAATGTTTTAAAACACAATTATAAAAAAATATGTATTGATTTTACAAAAAGAAAATAAGACTAAATTTGTCCTTCCAAATAATAATTATTTTTATTAATTACTAGATTCACTCGTTGATATATGTTTGATAGAATTTACGAGTAAAATAAATAAGTGGAAATATTGAGGAAAAAATAATTAATAATATTTAAAATTTTCCGGAAGAAAGTTAATTTGAATTGGAGGGAGTACAATATTCGAATCGAGAGGGGAATGAAGTTCAATATCTTCTTTTGGATGTTTCTCACGTAACATCTTCTTCTTGAACGAGAACAATAATTCTAATCTTTACATTTTTGCCAATAGGTCGTGTTTCGGTGAAGCTCGTACGATCGTTTATAATAATTCTAATCTTCACGATTATGCATTTAATTTAAGTTTTTATTACTTCCAATAAAAAAGACAAGGGAGCAAAAAACGAGACCTGCCTCCGGTGAAAAGCTGTGCAAAAAGATTCTTACAAAAGAAACAGGGATGGTGCAAAACTGTACAAGTACTCATTTTTTGATGCTTACATCCATTTTCCGAGTTTGCAAACTGAACAAGTCGGCTATATCTGCAGATGTGCTACATTCTTCGGGCTTTCTATCCGATACGGATCGAATAAATCTAGGGAATCTAACTGAAATGCCACGAGATGGATGTACTAAACCAATGGCAGCATGATGAACTGGCGATACTGTGAAATCGGCACCCTTTATCTGCCACACGAGTTCAGGTGAAAACCACATGTCTGGAACCTCAGCCGTTCGATAGTACGGTGGTTTTTTGGAAAGAACTCTCTCGGTGTTGAAGAACTCTTTCATCTGCAAAAAGTCAATCAGAACTAGTCAAGGGGCGGAAAAGTAATTATTGACACGAGAGAATCGGATGATTTAATTAATAGCATCAGCAGCGTACCTCAATGTAAAATGCATCTGAAAATCCAGACATTACACGGCAGACGCTCTGGTATTCTTCGGTATCAGGATTATAGCATGCCATTAGGAAAGGACTAAACCTGGAAATATACGACAAATGCAGTTAGTTATATATTCACTTGCAACCAATTTTTTCATACTTGTCACGAATCTAGTGAAAAATAAAAAATTACTACGGAATTTCTGATTACTTATCTCGATATATAGCAGAGAAAAAATAGGGGGGAGTAGAATTACCATCCTGCTTTTCTCCCATTTCCATGCCAAGCACCAATAGGAACCAAGTCCAACGAATCGCTTAGTCCTTCAACGTAATCTCTTTTGACCTGCCAAAACAAGAGATAATTTGCTCGAGTTATGAAGAATATTCATTTCTTAGTAAAAAAATTAAGATGTTTGAAACTAATATAACACCTTCAACCAGGCATCGGAACGCTTTGAAGGAGTATAGCCAGCATCAACATCAAGAGATTTAACCATGAGGCCTTCACACGAGGAACGAAGGGCGTCCTCAAGAAAAGTGTTCATCCTATTGAACGTTGCTTCATTATTTACATCAGCGTCTTCAGTTTCCACCTAAAAGATCTTGGTGACTTACGATGATAGCAGTAAAATATATCATAATGAATAAAGAGCTAGTAACTTACAGTCATTTCTTTTGCATACTCGAAGTAACCTGGTTTCTCTTCACCAAATAAATCTTTCAAATCTAATTTACAAGAGACGTTCGAAAATCAGAGTAGAAGATGCTTCGGATAATATATTTCATCCAGGATAACAGTTCAAAAAATTATCGAAAGGAGTGCGTACGTTTTCGTCTTTGACGCAGGGGCAAATTCAAGAACCTGCAAGAAAATTTTATACTGTCTGAGAAGTGTCGAAATATATGATGTACCAACCACACAGCACAGAGAGTCTAAAAGTGTATACATCTTTTCTCCCACTAGTTATGAACTTATGATCATCATACGTAGTTTCTTTAAATACAAAAAATGTAAAATCTTTATGTGTGATTTCTTATTATCAAAAGTTTGTCAAAAAACCAGCGCATACTCAGAAGAACTGCAGACTACACTTACTGCTCTCCATTTGCAAACATGATGTCAAAGACAAAAATGCATATGTCCACCTGCATAAATAGAAAATTTCAGATACACTATCTAATATATTCTAACGCAGCAGCAGCTCATAATTACAAATTTACCATAAAATGCTGAAATGCACGGGTACACATAATTTTTTTTATAAGTTACAAGTGTTAGTAATATATGTAAATCAATAAAAATAGCACGACTACTCATAATTCTGATTACCCTATCCTCCAAGAAAACTGAGCTAGAATCCACATGGAAGTCATCCAAAGTAACAGTTCAAAAGCAAAATGTGCAAATTCGATAGATTTATGAGAACCAATTTAACTGTTTGACTAAGAAACATACGATCATATTATCTTATTAAAACATACATACCACAGTTATAAAACGGAACTTACTTAAAAACATGAATAGAATTAAACAGGAAACATTTTTATGATCTGCTCTGAACTAGAAAAAAGAATGAAATTACCTTTATTTTATCTACATCAATAAGGGAATCCTTACGCCCTCTTTCCCTGGAAGATAGTTCTTGAAATGACATAAGCTTCAGATTGTTCTTCCTATCAATTGCAACCACCTGAATTAAAAAAAAGGGATATGCTTTTATGTACAAGTGTAACTCACCACTTCTTCAAATCGAAACTTAGCAGTGAAGATATGAGCTACAGATTGCTAAAAAGAAAATTAAAAAGAGAAGAAAGAGTGAGAGAACCCACCTCTGCATCCAAAATAAAAGTAACGGCTGCATTAATGCAGGAATCCTTAACTATGTCAATCAAATCAGGGAATCTCAATGTGGTTTCATCACCATTCCTCGAGAAAACACGTACAGAACCATCTGCTAATCTATGAATTTGAACACGTTGGCCGTCATATCTACAAAACACAAGGAAATCAATATTGCTTAGACATGGCTAAATCGATGTCTCATAATAAATGATGATGCCAGGTGGATTAAAATTGATAATGTGCTATATCATGATAGGCCCGAAACAGAACCCAATACTTGAACAATGAAAAGCTTAAAGATAATAACTGAAGGTCAATCAGAACTTACTTATATTCACATGTAAATGCCCTGTGTTCGAAACTCTTCAGCACTTGAGGCACTCCATTAGTAATTCTACAATAAAACACCCAAAAAATAAGCAAAGAGACACTAGTAATAATCTTTACTAACATTGAATATAGAAGTTGGTAGTCGAATTACTTTGCAAGCATTGGCTTGATTGGTATGCCAGGAATTATTGATAAGGTTGATGACGAAAATTCAATCCCGTTTTCCATCAGAGATGGAATAAGTATATCCTGACCACGAGAAGTTAGCATCCTCAAGATATATCAACAGCAAATAAACTTTCTCTACTCAGAGGCAATGCGTGATGTGGGTTTTCACTCAGTCAACACATAGAATAGGCTGCATGACACTAGTTTTATGGTGCATAAACTCTTGCAAGTAATCATGCAATTACTTCATTAAGAACAAATTTTATACCATCTGCATAAAGAATTTCGAGAAAATAATGTAAGGGTAAAACAATTTAGAGAACTACATTGCTAAACTGTCTATAAAATCAAACACGATAGAAGGGAAGAAAGAATCAAGGAGATTAAGCATCATTACTCTGGTTCTTTACCATCTGGAATTACCAAAAGGCAGAAAGGCAGAAGCCAAACTTGCTCTATTGGAAGTATAAAAATCAGATAGTGAAAATCTTTCAGCTTTTTAAAATCAGAATATTGTATAGCTGAGATACGAACTTGTATGGCCTCTTGAAAGTTCCAGTGAAAATATGTAAGCATCTCATTCATTCTGCTGAAATCCTTTAACAGTGGGAAATGGATGCTTGTAAACTCTCTTCATTTCATTGATTTTCAATCGTATTTGATGCATGAACAGATCACAGCTATAATACAAGCATGCAACAAGAAACAAGAAAAACAGGAAAGCTGAAAGTTACCAAGTTTGGAATTATGTTGTATGCTTCAACTACTGCTACGGACAGGCGCTACCATAGAACGAAATAATTGGAGAAGTTAGTAGACAGAACTATACAATAGGTTATTGAATAGAACAGTAATTATAAAACTTGGTATCACATGATACAAAAGCAAATCTCAAACCTGAATACGATCCTTCGAGTTTCCAGCAACTCCTTCATTTGCAGAATTCATTGCAATGGCCTGTGCTAAAGCGGGAAGAACAGTTCTCATCATAGCTCCAATTCTTAAGTTCCTAACCTGCATGGCATGCAAAACTAACATCAGGTCATAGATAGTAATACGAGAGGTGCAGTATGATACAGAACTAGGAAGAATAGAAAACACAAACAAAAAGGATACTGCTTCACGTAAAATCAAAAGAATTGCTTACGCATGGATATGTGAACAATAAGCAAAGCATTACTGTTACCATACCAAAGTTCTGACAAGAAATTTCATCTCCTTTTCTCTACATGAACGCATGAGATTCATAATTAGGCTTTTCTTCTTGGTTGTACTGCCAGTACCTGTTTGTACACTGATGAATTCCATGTAAATTATATAGTTCAGAGAGAACAGAGAAGACGGGACAAGATGTTAACGCTTCTAAAATCAAATCAACGCATAAAACATCAAGACTGAAAGCCCATAAAAAGACAGTAGCCAGTATATGATGATAACTACAATATTGGGTGGGGTGTGGGGGGTGGTTACAAAGCAAACTTTGTATAGACAACACAGCATACAATTTGTGCAACACAGAACGACCTTATTTATGCTACTGCAACTCCTTGTTCGAATTCGAATTTTATAATATTGGTATTCAAATCCATCCTTTCTATTTTAGTATTTTGTGTCTAACTAGTTCTACAATTACCATACTTTATTTTGGTTGCATTTATCAGCTACCACTCAAGCAATACCGGACTAACAAGGTCAGGCAGCTAGGTAAACCTTATCATGATATGCCAATTTTCCTTTTCTTTCTTTTACTTCAAGAATATTCATTAGAGCTATCTTATTAGATTTCTTCCCTAGTCCCTAGTTCACAGATTCCTTTCCCCGACAATCTGCTCCAACTAAAGAGTTGTACTCACAAACGGATTTAGGGAAGTATTTTGAAGGCAATTGCTCCCCCGCCCCCCCCCCCCCCCCCGGCAATTGCTTTGAGCCTATGAAAGAAAATTATGTGATCACAAATTTCAACTGCCAGTACTATAAGGAAATGCATACCTTATTTTCCGGAGAGCAGAATACACTTCTTGAATTGTAAGTGGTGCTGGAGGAGCAAGCAGTGATTGGGTTTGGCGGCAAAGCTGAGCAACATCACCTGATTCAGTACATACTGTGTGACTACCATGATAATACAACAATAAGAAATGTATCCAATGATTAAAAAAAAAATATAGCTCATAAGGTTATACCAAGATCACCAAGGCTATTATAAAGATTCTTTATTTTAGATTTGTTGGTCCCACAAACCTCTTCCAGAGCAGCAACAACTATGCTACTACCAATATTCAGTTCCTACAAATATCATGGAACGTGAATCACCATTCAAGTATAAATATGAGACGGGTAAACTTAGCTATGTTTTTATTCAGCCAAACGGCAACTAAAAGGAACGGCGTATTTTTGTCTCTATGAGGTCATATTTTCCGCTATTACATTCAGATTCAATTCCTCCAGTAAAAAGGTTTATACAACAAATTCAAACAGGTGAAAATAAAAAGGTTACAATATTTTCATGCTCGGGGGCAATCCTATTTGTGCACAGGTACACAGCGGGTAGCACATCCTCGGGTGCAAGGGCAAGCAAACTGCAGAATCAAGAGAGTTTTGGTTTTTGTGAGAAATGACTTAGTCCAATAACTTGGAAAACAAAATATTACTTGCAGTAAGCATAATTTGAAATAGCCAATACCCCAATCAACAAACCTCCTAAACATGTTGCATAGGATTGATGTAGCTTTTAGCTTGCCCTTTTCTTCTTCAACTAAATCAAAAGTGCGTGCTATATGAAGATATGGAGCAAGCTGTCCTTTCCTCCAGCAAGCTGGAAACAGTTCTCAGCCTTAAGCAAATACCATTAAGCAATAGATATGAGCATGGCATAGATAAATTTGTAAATTAGATGAACGAGAGAGCAAGTTTACCAACCATGCTTGACCGGATAGTATCTTTCAGGAGGCAGAGATACATAATTTACGGGGTCATTGTTCTTGGGTATGGCAGCGCAGAGTATATCAGACTTGATTTCAGGTTCGTTGTTCTCAGATAGTTCAGCACATGTGTCCACAGAGCAGATTCTATTGGTAAATTCAGATTCTATCACTTTAATACCGTCCAGCTTGTTGTCGTTAGTGTCAACAATGGTGGTAGCAGTATTATCTTTATAATATGTATCCAGCGCCGTATTAACGTCCCCTTTGGTCTTCTCAAGAATGGTGGCAGCATAGCTTCTCAATGATTCACCACCATTTACAATCTGGAGAAACTGATTCACCTCTTCTTTATATACTTCCGTAGCATCAGCAGAGAACCTACTTTGATCATCACAACTATTATTAACTTCGGCTTCAGGTTTACTATCTTCAGACACGAGCATTTTTTTGTTAAAGAACTTAGTTATGGGGGATGTTGCTTTGAATCACTAGATTTCCGGGTTGAAACTGCCTTTGCTCTCTTTGTTCCCTTGCTATCACTGTTTCTCTTTCTTTTCCCAGGAGAACTTGCACTCTTCTTTATTCCCGAACTAGATAATTTAAAGCTTTGACTGAGAGAAATATTCTCAGCGTGATTTATGCTCTTGACAGAAGGAGATTCAAAAGGCAAAGCTGGTTCCTTTTCTGAGTTTCCTGGAAGAGAAGAGGTGCCCGGTGTACTGGAAAGAACCTGTTCATGAAACTCTGTTTCGTGTTCATAAAAATTTGAAACAGCTTCAACTACATTTCCATCGGAACTGCTAAGTAAATCCAACATCTGGCATCTAGTTACCCAATTGGGCAAGCAGTCGCGAAGTTCCTGCACGGATTTCTCCACCTCGTCTTCTTTACTTTTATCAAATGTCAAAGGACAATCCTTCTCTCCATTCACTCTCTCACTCCCACCACGAAGAAAACCCATCAAGAATTCTTGCTTAATTGCCATTTCATCAACCAATCCAGCAAAATGCTTCTGCATTGAACGCGCATGTTTGCTGTCAATTTTCTCGACATCGGCGCCAACTGTCGGAACAACACGCTTTGGCTTCAAAAGCTTCACATACTCCCTAAGCTCTTCGTAGTTTGAATGTTCACTATACGGAACAAGATGAATCTCGAAAGAGTCCTTTGTTCGCACCGCAAACTTATTCTTCTTGACTTCATACGTCCACCCAGTCGGTACAAAACCTACAACCTTCGAGTAACCTCTCTCACTCATTATCTCCTCCATCTTCACAAAATTAGGTCGAAAGTACGGCCAAGTTTCCCCCAACATATTCCAACCAACAACATGAACATCACTCTCCAACTCATCCTCTGTAAACACCCCACTTTCTCCCAAACCTAAAGCACGCAAAACCTCCATCTTCTTGCCATTCACGTGAATCTTCCTCTTACACCGCCGAGAAATCTCCACCAAAATCCTCTCCTTCCCGATGACATACGTGGCCACTAAAAACAACACTTTTTTGCCAATTACTCCCTCACCCTCACCCTCATTCTCAGCCCCGATTCTCTCAATTGCACGAACGATATAATCGATCGACTCATCCTGGCTCGGAAACACAAACTTCGGATTACAATAGGTCGTATCTAGAAACACAGCATCGGCGCCGATAAACTCGGATAACACACTCTCATTCCTCATTTCATCACGAAACCTAAAATCACCAGTATGAACATACTTCTCAAACCTAATCACACTACTGCAATCGTTTTTATTATCCACGGGGACCTTGAACAAGAACTGAACTGCACCGGGGCAGTGATTAGCGTCAATTAGCCAAACTTCTGAGCCGTCGATCAGCACCGATTGGGAGAGAGGTAGGGCGAAAATGAAGGTTTGGGGAACTTTTAGGATTTGGTGGAGGAGAGTGGCGGTGGTGGAGGAACAATAAATGATTCCGTTCGACCATTGAGGGGAGAGGCCGGTGTAGTGGTCGGAGTGGAAGTGGGAGAGGAAGTAGGAGACGGAGAAATTCGAGTCAGCGTGTTTGAAGCCGTCGACGATGAACCGGGTTTTAGGGATGAGTTTGGAGTGGGGGAGGGAGGCGGGGGAAGGGTTGACGGGGTGAGAGGGTGGTGGCTCCGGCGGTAGGGAAAGGGAGGATAGGGCGGCGCGGTGGACGGCGGCGGTGTCAAGGTTTAGCGGTTGCGGTGGTTCGGAGGCGGACATTGATTCGCGCGGGTTGGGCATTTTTCCAATGTTCAATTTTACACGTATAAATCTCAATTTTCCCAAAGAAAAAATATTAAAAATAAAATAAATTAATAATAAAACGCTCCTTAACCCCTTATTTTCAAATTTCAATATTCAAAATCTCCTTGCGCAACAACGGATGAATTAGCTGTTGGAGGAAGTGAGCATGTGTCAATTGACTTGAATTTTGAATGCCCCCTTCCCGGCAAATCAAGTAATTGTTTGAAAAAAAAGTTGAAACTGTGATTTTTCTAAAGAATTTTGAGACATTCGCGCGAAATCGAAAAAAAGTTGAAAAGGTGGTTTTTTTCTTAAGAATTTTGAGACGTTCGGTGAAACCATCCAAATGCGCACTCGGAGCTATCCGGGTTGTTTCACACTTTAGGGCGTGCTCGATAATCTTGTCATAACTCCTATATGAACTCCAATCGAGGTTATTCTAAATGAATCAAACTCGTGAGAATTGGTTTTTTTTTTTTTTTTTTTTTTTTTGTGGATTGAAGTCTCCACAGCAATCTATTTTTGATCTGTCAACTGAAGCTAGCAGTTTTCTGTCATATGTCCATGAAATTCAGAGATAATAATCAAAGGAAAGTGTTTCTAACATATTTGGTAAGAGTTAAGGACTAGTTTGAATACAAGATGTCGATCACAGTGGCAAAAGCAAGACAGGGCATGGTATGAACTCGGCCAATAGGTTTGCATCGACGTGTTTGGAATGGACAGCCTCCATACTCATAATAACTAGATCCATATTCATTTCATCAGCTACCTCTCCGATTATCGCCGTTGGCTTGATTCCTTCTCCAAGTCTCTCCAATATCTTGAATTCTTGAAACCCGCCTTCAACATCCCACAAAACAACAAATTATAAAACTTATGTACTGTCCGTCTGTGTCTGTACGTGTGTGTGTGGTGTGCGGTGTGTGTGTGTGTGTGGTGTGAGAGAGAGAGAGAGATTTATATCATTTATTCATATATGTAGGAACATGCCTTCAGATAAATGCCAACGAATAGTAGCTAGTTGAGTCTCATGTTCCGACAACTTATCCTTCTCCTTGTCATCGATAACTGCAGAAGAACATATATTTTTTTTTAAATTTCTAGTTTTCGTTTTAATAGGAAGATGAAAAAACACAGCGGTACACTATCATTCGTACCTACAACTGTTATCTCAGCCCCGTATTTCTTTGCCAAAGCAGCAACGGTTGCCACCGCCTACCATAAAATGTTAGATCAAACAAGTGTAGCCTCAAAAGAATTAAAAAAATATCATAAATTACGGACAAGCCGAGAAAATCAGATGTGCTAAAGTAGATAATGTATTACTTACGACAAAGAACACCAATACTCCCAGGTTACACTTTCATATGTATTGCAGTCGTATATATGAGGACGGATTTCTCGAAAAGAAAAATCGAATACCTGCTTTGTACCCTCGGATAGATAAGGATTGCGATCTATGACTGGAAGAAGCAAATGTTTGTACTCAGTGAAGGTATATGCAAGTGGTCTGACTTCGGATTCCTGCGCCTTACATTTCACTGAAAGGCAAACAGAAACGAGGGCGCACACTTTTTAGAAATTGGAACCGAACCCAAATAACCGCTACATCCGTATAAACTACGTATCCGAAACACAAGTTGCTACATACGAACTCTTTCGTAGTGAATAACTATTTCGTTAATCGATAACCGAACTTGAAGAACAAAACACCAATACATGAAAAATTCATCATCCTACAGAGAATAGCAGAATCAGAACTTAAATTCCAGAAAAATGGTCAGAAGAAAGCAAAATCAGAGACTGTACAATTAGATTGGGGGATTTAATTAGAAGACTGTAAGAAAAAAAAAAATCACAATCAAAACAATCGGAAGGTGCAATATACAAGCAAAAATTAAAAGAACCGACTTTCAATTCAAAATTCCCCCAAATAAACTGCAGACATCATCAATTTAGACAAAAAAAAAAAAGGAATTACCTCGAAGCTTGGGAGAAATGGAGAAATTGCAGGATTTAAGCTTGGGTAAAGTGTGAGTAGAAAGAACTGAAAGTGTTGGGCTGAGAACAGATGATGCTGAGCTGAAGACGGACTCTGTATTTTCCGGCGGAAGTACAAGCGGACAGTGGACGACGGCCATTGCAGATGGTTCGAGTAAGGGTTTGATGACGTGTTGCGAAGAGCCGAGAAACTGCAATTTAGTATTTGGTTTAGTTTTGGGAAATAGCACTTAACCCCTCGTGGTTTGAGTTTTGTACACGTGAAGCCCTTGTACTTTTAATATAATGATATAGTTCGTCTCTAGTTTGAATTTTATGCACATGAATTCCTTGTATTTTTTTAATATAAGCCCATAACCTCACATGATATTCTACTTGGTAAATAATCATACTTATTATAAAAAGGAAATTTTTGAAAGTTTACGGCACATTTGGTATATAGGAATGGGCAAGGAATGGAATTAGTATTCCCAATTTTATTCTAAAACACATGTTTGGTATGTTTTGGGAATGGGAATACCCATTCCTACTGGAATGCTCATACCCAAAATTATAGGATTAGTGATTCCTCTACTCCCCCATGGTTTTACGTATTCCCAATCCTTTGGGAATAAACAAATTATTTTCTTTTGACAAAATTATCCTTATTAATACTTTTTATTTACAAAATTGTCACGTAGATTCCATATAACTTAAACATAATTAATCAATTCTTCTATCAATTTAAAAAATAATAAATTTAAATAAGTATTTAAATAACTTATATTATAATTAATCATCACTATTATTTTTCTTATCATTGGTGTGTTTCATTATTAGTTGTGTTCTACATGTCCTTGTTGTACTCACTATTTTTTTTCTTCAATTAAAAATTATATCAAAAAATAACATATTATGATGAGTAATTGAATTGTAAAAAACGTTTAATCACAAATTTTTAAAAATTATAAATTTAAAAATTAAGGTAATAATTAAAAAAATTGCTACAAAAATTTTTCAGTTAAAGGATACTTTGGTCACTAATTTTTTTTATTTCATTTCAATACATTTTATTTAAGTTACCAATCATAAGATTGAAACAAGATAAATGATTAGATTTCATTCCTTTCTTATTCTTCGTTTATACCAAACATAGGAAAGGGAACAACATTATCATTCATTTCCCATCATTATTACATTCCAATGCTTATTCCATTCCTATCTTATTCCTTTCATGCATACCAATTGGGCCGTAAGGGGTTATGTGCTATTATTAAAATACTAGGAAGTCATGTGCAATATTGAAAGTATAAGAGAATCATATGCACATAGCTGAAACCTGTCACAAGGGTGTTAAGTGTTAGTTATCCTTGAGTTTTTTTGGTTTATTGCCTTGATTATATATTAGTCAACCTTATTAACTATTTTCGAAACTGAATTTAGCAAACTCGAAACACGGAATTTGTAATCTACAGATGCGCATGAATGAATGATATCGACTCCTATTAAATTATCTAAAATTCAAATTGTAACTCATTCATGTGAAATGAATCATTTAGTAACAACATCTTAATTGCTTGTGTGTCGCAACTTTACTTTCAATGAATAATATTCATGCAAGAACTTTTGTTTCTTGATTTAAAAATTATATATATATATATATATATATATATATATATATAATTTTTACAATACACACAACACACACGCACACTAGAAATCGAGCTCCAAATCTCTGCCCGATTATCAACATATTTAAAAAAAAATCGACCTTATAAATGATCGAATTCATGAGTTTACAATACACAAGTATTGAAAGATAACATCGATCTACAAACACGGAAACGATTACTTTCGTTTGAGAAAGACAAAGTAATTAGTCTCTTTCCAGTACTCCTCATCGAATAATTCCGGACTATTCGTCACTTTCTGCAAATGAAGCTTAAACAATTCGTCGATGGATATTCCATTACTACCAAAGTGCTCCTCAATAAGTTCTCCAATAACAGCTCTCAAATGAGCGGTCACGATTCGAGGATCTGGTTTCACTCTCATCGGAGCAGCTAATTTAGCTATTCTCACAATATCGAACATGCCGTTTGCCTCGATCAATGCCTTCAGTTCCGATGGAGATGGATAGTAGAAAGGCAAGTTGAATGAATCCACCTTCTCTCCACTTATCTTTCCCTTCATTATAGAGAAGAAATATTTAGGATTTTAGCCTTTTTCGGGATCGAATAAACGAAGCAAAATTTTGAATTTCAGAAATTAAAATTAATTAATGAATTAAAAAAATAAGATAAAATTGTTCTGAAATTCAAAATTTTCATTTTGATATAAAACATTGGTATATAATAATATTAATATTACAAACATAGTTTTTGGATGAAAAACATAGAGTAAACTGCAAAAAGTACCCTTGTGTAATCTCGAAATGGTGGAAAACCCTATATGATAAATAAACGAGCAAAAACTTCCGCTGTGAAATTTCGATCATCCAAAAACATATATAGGAATTTTCCAAAAACTATAATTTTTTCTACTTTCTATATATTATTCCAATTTCGATCATCTTATTTTTATAGGAAATAAAAAAAATCATAAAACGGAATGAAGTTCGGGAACGTTGAAATTTTCAATTCATAACCTAAAGAGAACTTAGGGTCGGAGTTTCGTTCCAATTTCCACTTCAAATAATTTAACATCATAAATGTAATTTTCAAACCCATAGAATTCTCCGAGTTCAAATTCCGATCCAAAAAAAATCGAATTTATTTTATCAATCAAAATGATTTTTTTTTTTTTGTAACTAATTGAAATTTTCAGATCAGAATCGTCGAAATTTAAAAATTCGTCGTTTCTAATTTCCACGCACGAAACTTATAATACTCACCATCTTGGCCAAGTCCTCAAAGCAAGATCCAAGTACACCAAAGGCCACTCCCATACTAGACTCGGAAGCAACTACCCCATCGGGAAAACCGAGCACAACCATCACCATTAACCCTCCATCCACAAGCTCGCGTGCCCGAAAACTCAAAAAATCGTCCATATCTTTCTTATACCGAACCGAATACACCTCTTTAACTTCTTCCCGAGCTCCGAAGTAGTGAACCCTCCCCTTATTCCACGCCATCGAACCACTTTCTCTCACCTCTTCGGGTATTCTCGATAGCCAGTGAAGCGCGGTCGAGCAGTGCGCGAAATGGATACTTTCTTTCGGAAATAAACGAGAATGAAACGAGCCCGGAACTCCCGCTATAAAGTAGCTCTTTTTGGAGGTGTGTAGGTTGTTTTTGAAGAGGGTGTTGAAGTCGTTGTTTACGAGGTCGTTGAAGAAGACTTGGAATTCGGGTGTTTGGTGGTTAATATTAGGGTTTTGTGTTGTTCGGTTGGATTTTTTGTATTTGTTTTCGACGGATTTAATGATGTTTTCGACTGCGAAGAATGTGTTGGGGCCCACCGAGCATCCTAGGTCGGCTATTCTAAAGGTGTTTCGAGGATCGAACGGAGGTTTGTTCGTGTCGAGATGGGAGTTGATCAGTTGGTTTGTCAAGTCCTCTGCTGAGACAATTAACTCTTTCTGCATGAGATTAGAAAAAAAAAAATGAAGTATACTACTAATCCGATCCCTTCACAGTTTACTGTGGGCTCGTTTGGTTTCTAAGTTAAGATTAGTCAAAGATAAAATTAAATAATTTTATGAAAATCCAATTGTACTATTGGACCATAATAAATTAAATTAAAGTCATTTTTCCCTATAATTACGGGTCGACCCGAAAAAGTTGTTGGACTAATCAAACATTCAATAAGGTCCGAGATTATTTAATTAATCATAGTTAACAAGGTCTGTATGGACGCGTTATGTATGTATTTCTCTAAGTATTGTAGATAAGTTAAAACTTCGATTTCACTTAATTAGATCGCACACTTGATGAACAATATATAATATTTCAAACGGCTCACAAACTAGTTAAAAACTTTGAAACCGATTCAAAATCATGAATTCATCAAACACAAGCTCGAAAAATAGGGAAAAAAAACATAATTATTATATATGGATGATTCGAAATCCTAATCCCAACCAATCGAAACGCAAACAAACGGAGTACTAAGGCGACGTCAATTAATCGTGCAATTGAGATCGAACTTGCTCACCTGGTAGACAGAATTGTGAGCATAGCTATTAGGGCCATCACCTCCAATCATATGGTATTTGCAAGAAGCTTCATCCATTTGTATGTATCTATCTGTATGTATATATCGCCACACATAAGTCCAGCTTTTTATAGACCTTACTAATTACAATCATGAAATTGCATGTTGATTATAATTAATAAATTAGCTGTTTTTATGCTATGAAAATTTACAATTAATTAAACAAAGAATAATGAGGTCTGGTTGAAATATATGTAATTTTTGTTTAAAATGATTTGTGGTCCTTTATGCAATTAATTTTGTTTGTGTTATGTGAGTGATTGAGAGAGGTAATTAATTATGTACAATAATTGGTTATTTGAGTCCAAAATCATAACCATAAACAATTGGATATTCCTACATGGATTATTGGCTCGTGACTAAAAACCAAATTCGAGATGTGATATTAAACTCATTAGTCATTACATTACTCATTATTTTATTTTATTTTTTATTTTTTATTTTTTATTTTTTGTTTTTTATTTTTTGTTTTTTTCGCAATAATTTGTCTACTATGGTATTGTCAATTGTGAAGCTTTGATTTTGTAATGTTTTTTTTCCCAATCTGCGAGCACTGCTTAATAGGCTAAAGCCCATAAAGGCTAAATATATTATATAAAAGTAAGGCTAAATTACGGTCCCCTTGAGATAAGGTTGAATTGCGAAACATACTTCTCATGGTTTGAGTAATTATAACTACTCATCAAAACTATAAATCTTCTTACACGTCCGTCCACTCTTATGGTGTCAATTCCGTGCAATATTCTCTAGTTTGTACTCGTTTTGTGTAAAAACGCAGTTTTCTGATGCACCACGATCTGATATTTCCAAGTAAGAGACACATTTTACGATCATCTTGTTTCAAAATGTGAAGCTCGAATAGGGTAAAAAGGGCGTAAACTGGAGAATATTCCACATAATCTAAAAAATTCCACTATATTTGACACCACAAGAATGAATGTGCAAGAAAATTCTTACTTGAAGGAATAGTTGTAATTGGATTTTTTCGTAATTCCATAAGTCGTAAACTTGATTGTGACAATCAAGAAACGGTTATGTAAGTTAAGTAACTACAGTTATAAGATTTTTTTTACCTAAAAAAAGAAAATAAAAATAAAAATTGTAATGGTAGGTGACGTAGTTCTGTATTCACAAGATTAGTACGCGTTATTTAGTTGGCAATGAGTGCACCCAAAGCAATAATGAGTGGGTCCATAATGTCATGAACATAGGACATCACTTACCAATCATTGATTATATGTATTTTATTATTAATTAGTGGAAAATTAATAGAATAAGCAAGACTTATTTTCATTTTGCACCCTTGAAACTTAGAATTTTACACTTTGTACATTCAAAAATTAAAATTGAAGAGCATTTTATGCACACTCGAAAGACAATAAATCACCCACCATGCACCTGGAACGAATGCAAAGTGCCGAAAAGTCAAAATTAAACAAACTTACTATGCCTCATTTTATTTTGGCTAAATTACGGCTACCCCTAAGGTAAGATCAAATTACGAAAACACCCCTCATATTTGGGTAATTACAACCACCCCTCAATTATGAATCTTCTTACACGTCCACCTTTGCGGTGTCAAATTTAGTGGAATATTCTCCATTTTGTACCCGTTTTACCCCATTCGAGCACCACATTTGAAACAAGATGATTATAGACGTGTCTCTTGACTTGTAAATATCAGATTGCGGTGCATCATAAACTGCATTTTTGCACAAAACGAGTACACACTAGAGAACATTCCATGGAATCTAGGAGATTATGTTGAACTTGACACCATAAGGGGTGGAAGTGTAAACAGACTCATAGTAAATGATGGTTGTAATTACCTAAACATGATGAATTTTCAAAAGATTATATTATCCTAATATAATAAACCAAAATGGTGGGGCCCCCTAGAGGAGAGTGGCCCCACACGCATTAGAAGAAAATGAAAAAGAAACTCACCTCCCATTACATATGAGTTGGTCTTTTTCCATACAATTTCCACTTACAACTGTCTTATGTTGTATCCCCACTTTACCGGACGCGGTGGACTCAACCGCCCCACCCCTTCCCACCACCACCAACATTATTCTCTAACACACGATTTGTTCGATGCTACACCCGGTGAAAAACACCGGGT